GGGGAGCCCGATGCGGGACTCGATCCCAGGACCCTGGGATCATGACCTGAGCTGAAGGCAGACGCTTAACCGACTGAGCCACCCAGGTGTCCCAATCATTATTCTTATCATTGGTACAATTAGGTATTTTCTCTTCTTCTCTAGAATCCAAAACTAATGGGGGGCATTACGGAAATATCTGAAAGAATTATATTTCTTCCACTTTAATTTATATTTTCTTCCTCCTCGCCTATATTTAAGTAATGTGTGTGTTCGGGGGAGGTGGGGATTTAGGAGAATATCAAGAGCTAGGGGAGAAGTAAAAGTTTAAGCCCAAGGAACCAAGTAGGGGAAAAGGAGATGACCATCTCTGAGCTCCACTCTAAGCGTGAGCAACACATCTTATTAGACTGTATTAATGTTGAGTTCACACTGAGGCTTTTAAAATTTTATAACAAGCTCCTGAAATGTCAATGATTTACACTGAATCTGGTCATCTCTATGTATGTTGATCATCGCGGTGATGCTATTAAATTTATTTGCAACAATGCAAAAGCAAAAAATCAAGAAGGTAACACAAATTCATTAAGAATTGGACGGGATAACGCTTATATTCCTAGTGTTATAGTAACAGGAGCCTTTCAGGCGGGTAAATCTTAACTGAAAAACCTGCAGTTGCTCGTTTTCACCTAATGGAGCAGAGCCCCTGGCAGCTCAGCCACAGAAGAAGGGCAGTGACTTTCTGAGCTGGCAGCGGTAATGGGAAGGAAAAGTACTCAAGTTAAACAATTAAATAGAGGACCAGTAATTTAAGAAAATACACACGCAGCAAAGTATCGTCAGTTCAGCTGAGCATTTTATGGTAAGATTTGGTCAGAGAGATGCACACATTAGAGGGACAAGATTTGTATTCAAAATGCCCTTAAGACACTGGGGGAGGGAGCAGATGTAATAGGATAGGACTTCCGAGGGCAAGTGCAGGGTTTTCGTTAGACAAGGCTGTCTAGCTTGCAGATATAAAAGATCAGAAAGTGCTACCATTTTGCAGAGAAGATGGAAAACATTTTCAAGGGCGAAAACAGACTAGAGACTAGATGAGAGCCACAGAAAAGCCCCATGGTACAAAGTGAATGATAAGAAAGAACTAGAAATCATGGAACACTTCATCTACAGCTAATGATGTAATGTATGGGGATTAACATAAGAATAAAAAAAAAATTAAAAAAAAAAAAAAAAAGAAAGAACTAGAACCGAGACGCCTGGGTGGCTCAGTCAGTTAAGCGTCTGCCTTCAGCTCCGGTCATGATCTCAGGGTCCTGGGATCCAAATTTAGGTCTGCATTTGCTGGATTCTAATACTCAAGTCCTTCCCACCATTCCACACTGTCTTCCTATTGCTGTTTGGGGATTTTTACTAATCCGTGCAAATTGCTGAGTATTTTGCTGCTTTTAGAGGAGACGGAGATAATGTCTCATTCCCTTGGAGTCCAGTAGTCCCCAGACAGAATGAATGGCTGCCCATTCTGCATCAGCATCAGCTGAACGTGTCAGGTTTCACACTTCTGCCATGGGGTTAAACTGATACTCAGTTATTATCTCCCGTTCTTATGCTACCACTTGTTTTATACTCTACCACCACAGGGATATAGCACTGACAAAATCGGCCTCACCCTGGTTAAATCCTGAAAGACCTGATATATCTGGGTACCATTCAACACTCTAATGTGTAAGCCAACCTATAAGAACTCTTTGTTTAGTCCAGGTAGGACAGAGCATGGCTTTTAGTTCAAACAGTCATTACACTTCTCAACTACACCCAACATATTTTAGATTCTCTATCATAACTGCTAATGGAGACCTTGCCTCCTTATCATTTTGACAACTTTGTTGATGGTAATAGGGGTGGGGATTTTGTGTGTGTATGTGTGTGTTGTGTATTTTATATGTAAATGTCTGTGTAGTATGAAGAGGAGTCAGTAACTCTAGAGAGGAAATAACAATAAGCTTTTAATGAAAATACTTTTGACTATGTTAGTGATGGAGAAATGAAGCATACTGGGAGGGAATGGGGAAGAAACTAGGGAGGAGAAAAGGGGATAAAAGGAGAGAAAGATAGAAGGTGGAAGTATAAGGAAAGGAGAGAAAAATTGGTCTGACTCTAAGGATTGTAAATCCTCACTTTAGTTTATGACACATAGTAGACATCTGTACATATACACAATAAATGATAATGTATACTTTGAAGAAAAATTAGTATTTAGATTTTTATAATATCAGAGTAGATTTGGAGTTTATGGCAACAACTATACAGTGACCTTTCAATACAAAGATGTTATGGGCCCACTGCTAAAAAAATGTGTCTAAATTTTGACACCTTCTTCCAGAAATAAACATGACTTTCCATACCACGCATGCCAGTTGCCTCCTGTGCCTAATGACCTTCACCACCAAGACGGAAGACCGGAGTTGGGATTTAGTCCACATCTGGATCCCTGAACAAAACCAGCTGGTTTTCCTACCTGTCCATCGGTCCCGATGGTGCCTCCACAGTCAGTGAGGAGTTCTGACATGTCATAGTAGCTAACAAACTCCCACAAACAGGCCTCTAGGTTCAGGTTTCGATAGAAGCGTAATGTATTGGTGCCTCTGATAGATGAGCTGTACTGGTAGGGATGCGTCTCTCCAATTACTTCTGGATTTTTTGTAGCATCAGTTAAGAAACCATGGTGAGTCTTCACTTCAGTGTAATCCAGAAGGTTGGAGCACTGGTGGTTTCCAACTCTTGAGCCATCAGGACTGAGGGTGAGCTCAAAGTTGGAAAGCTCTTTAGTGGAGATCACAGGGAGCATGCCTGCAAGGAATGGTGATCATGTTGCCATCGTCACCAGCAAAGGCTTTAGAACACTTATCATTCCTTTATCCTCAAGAAGACAAGTGTTATAAAATACTGTACAGCGGTGATTACTACCGACGTGGTGTCCCAGGGGTCCCCTGGCATTTTTCAGGAGATCTGTGACATTAAAGTTAATTTCATAATGATTCTAAGACATATTTGACTTTTCCATCATTATTCTCTCAGTATAGTGGAGTTTTTGAGAGTCGTCATATATTGCCATAGATTGAATGCAGAGGTAGATAAAAGAATTCAGCTGTCTTTTATGAAGCCAGACGTTAAAGGTATTTCCAAAAATGTAAGAAAAACACAATTTTTTTTATTTATAAGTTATAGCTATTTTTCTTTAAAGTATGTTTTTCTTGTGAATATGTGATGGATTGGTTATTTTTAAATGAACAAAAAAATAAGTATTTAATAATTCCTCAGTTTTAATTTTAAATCCAGTTCATATTTACAGATATAACTCATAAAAACTACAGGTCTTTGAGATCCTAAATAATTTGTAAGGATGTCCTGAGACCAAAATGTTTGAAAACTACCACTATACAGTATAAGCTATGGTTTGGCAAACTTCTTGGCTAAAAGGTCAAATGGTAAATATTTTAGGACTTGTGGGCCATAAGGTCTGTGTCTCAACTGCTCGATGCTCCATGTTAGACTGAAAGCTGTCACAGATGACATGCAAAGTAATTCATATAACTGTGCAATAAGACTTTATCATGCACAATGGATTATGATTTCATATAATTTTCATGTTCCACGAAATATTCTTCTTTTGTTTTTTTCTAAACATCTAAAAACACAAAAACCATTTTTTAGTTTGCAAGATCATATGAAAGCAGGCAAGTAAGCTGGATTTGGCACAGAGGCCAGAGTTTGTCGAGCCCTGGCATGGGCAATGCAGCAAAAGGGACCACGAGAGAGGTGTTCTCCTGGAACATCTCCCTCCTCTTATTCTCAGATTCTCCCAGAGCAAAACCCTGGCCTCACAAAAGAACTGGTCAGCTTCTACCATGCTCTGGCGGAGCTGTGTCTATTGACCACGTCAGGCAATGCAAAGTCAGCTGTAGGAATAGCATGAGGGACCAGTCTTTCTATTAGGATCTGTTGATGGGTCCCCCTTTGGCCCTTTGCTGATGGATCCCCCTTTGGCCCTTTGCACCTCTGAGTCACACCTCCAACATGAGTCTAGAGATAGGCTGGCCATATGTGAGACCCACATTATGCTGTAAAGAGGTGCAGATTCCTGTCCACCCACCTCCCACCAACACAAATTTGGGTTTGCAATAAGCATAAAAAGCAGAATTATATCTTTTTTCTGAGAAAGATAAATTCTACCGTATCATTCCTAATACTGCCTCATGTTTCTTCTCACTTAGCTACTTAAAATATAACTAACTACCAAGTAATAAAGTTAATATTAACAATTTAGGTATAAAGTCAATTGAGAAGAACAGAACTTGAAGATGTTTTCTGTACTTGGGGAAATGTTGACAGTGTGGATAAAGTTATCAACTCACAGATTCTGGCCACACTTTCCTATCTGGAGAAAATGAACACAATTTATAAATTGGATTTATAAAATTCCAGCTATGAAATAGCAAATACATGTTGAAGGTGCTCAATGAGATACTGAAATGCTTTACTGGAAGTCCAAGTTCAAGAGTTTTAAAGACACAGTCATACCATTTCATAAAAACTAGCACATGGACCAAAGTTTCGTTCCATCGTGTTTGGACAATGTATTAAATTTGTTTAATATTAAAGAAGGCTTAAGTTGTCAGACTTTAAAAACAGGATGGAAAGAAAGCAGAATCACTTGAAAGGAACAGAAAGACTTGAAGGTGACATTGCAAAATGAACATCTTATCATCTGCGTGGTGATTTCGGGTATTCAGTGGCATAAACCAGGTAATGAGGAGCCCACACCACTCCCATGGATTTGCTTACCCAAGCCACCTACCATCTATGTGTGGCATCGTGACCGTGAGCTTGATAAGGTTTGTGTAGTCTGGGTCCTCGGGGCCCGTGTAGCGCAGCTTGGCTGAGAACGGCTCTGCCCCCACTGTCCCCGGCACCCGGGGCTGACACAGACCTCAGGGAAAAACGAACGTACTTATGCTCAAGGAACGTAACAGACAATGCCGAAAGAATATTTTTAAGCTAGGCACTATCATTTTTTTTTTTTTAAGATTTTATTTATTCGACAGAGAGAGACACAGCGAGAGAGGGAACACAAGCAGGGGGAGTGGGAGAGGGAGAAGCAGGCTTCCCGCGGAGCGGGGAGCCCGATGCGGGGCTCGATTCCAGGACCTTGGGATCACGACCTGAGCCGAAGGGAGACGCTTAACGACTGAGCCACCCAGGCGCCCCTGGGCACTATAGTTTTTTAAACAATAAAATTAAAACTTCTCTGTGGACTAAGGCATTGCTTAGAGCAGCTGTAAAAAAGCCAAAGGCCCTGGCATGAGAAGTAAGTGCAGCAGACAGTTTAGTAGCTACTTCTTCACATTTCAGTTAGTTTATAAAGTTTGAGAAATAACAGTTATTGTTCAATGTACTTTAATATGCGCTGGACATTCTAGGTTATAATCATATTTGCAAAACGTTCTAATATAAAATGTGGACAGACACAGTAAAAAAGGACTAAAAGCCAGCAGGAAAAAAGTTACCTATGGTTTAATTAAGTGAATTGGTGCTTATTCTAGAATAATGTGCATGACTAGTCATAAAGTATAATTATTTATAATCAAATAAACTAAAAATGCGCTCATTTTTAAAACAAAAACTAAAGTCTCCTTAGAATCAGAGAACTATATACAGTAGAGTTTTCTCTCTATATGTAACTTCTTTCAGTATGTATATTATAAATTTTAATTTATAATATGCATATTGATACAAAACATATTGATACTGATATACCCATATACATATTGAAACACATGATAAGATTATTTTCTGGCTATCATCTATCTATCTCTTAGTGACTCTCAAGCATTTTGACATGAAAATCTGCCCCAATACTTCCTTTAAAAGAATTGTGATGTTTTCATTTTAATATTATGAAAGGGACTAAGATGCTGGTTTATAATTTGAAGAGCACTAGGCAGTATATAATCTCTTTTCTAATTGTACAAAACAAAGGAAATAAACAAGTACTTATTAGAATAGCAATAAAATCAGAGGCAGGCTCCAGCATCTGGGCTATTTTATTAATAGGGGCACTCATTTTAAGGCGTTGTTTGATTTTTTTTCCTTTTGGTACCAACATAATAGTTTGGTCTTAAGAGAAACTTAACAACCATGTATTTTAATCCTAACAAAAGAGCATGTTTACTATATATGGTATCAATAAATATTCATCCTGAGTGTATGAAGGTGGTACATATAACCTTTCTTTATGCAACAAATATACTTCTGAACCACTGTATGCAGATAAAGTTTTAAAAATAGAATCTTAAAAACAGACTGTTATTTTTAAAATCTAACTTAAAAGTTCTCAGGCAGACTGAAGGATGAGTTTGGATTTCTTGTCTTTTCAGTGTTGCTCCAGCTACATTCTATTCTCCACCCGCCATGTGTCTGGGCTCCAGCCCCGGGCACAACCTCCCTTAAAATCACAAGCTGTGGGCACTTGTGGATACTTTTCCACCTGCACTGTCATTCCTCTGTCCCCGTCCCCAGCAAATTCCTACTGCTGCGACAACCAACTCATCACATAGGAGCCACGTTGTCCAGATCTGACCTTTGCATACCATCCTGCTTCATCTCCTCTCCACTCTCCCTCTCACCTGCTTCCCCATTTCTCTGCTTGTAGTTTCCAGAATATTGCATGTTCTTTCATGCTTCTATGAGTCATTGCTCATGCTTTTGTTTTTCTCTGCTGTTTTCAAGACTCCTGTTTCCTGACCCACTCAGGATAGAACTAGTCACGTTCACTGTGTCTTGTCCAGACTAAAATTTATCTGTGTCCTCAGCTTGAGTGTGAACTCATTGAGAACAAGAGTCTTGCTTCCTTTTTCTGAGTGCCAGCAGAAAGCTTAAAGTCTGGCATGTAACAGGTGATCAAAAAAAAAAAAAAGTGGAATGAATAAATATTTATTTTCTAATGAATATTTTTGTAAAAGTGGATGTCATTTTTTAAGTACTTGATGAATATTAAGGAATACATGGGGGCATTTGGGAGAACTAATAACCAGAGATCAGATATTGATAATATTCCATGGTATTGCAGCGGTCTTCATGTGAAAATGGTGGCGCATTACCTTCTTCTCTGCCGACGGTGACAATAGGGCTCATCAGCTCCAGGCCCTCCTTGCCATTGGCATTCACAGCGCGGGCCGCACACTGCACCCTGGAGCCGGGCTGGAAGTATATGGAATCCAAGGTGATCATCTTGGATGATGTAAAAAAAGTGTCAAAGTCCACTTCTCTCATAGGGCTGGTGACGCCATCAGGGCCAGCGGGTGCGCTAGTCAGCCATCGGTACCGGGTCAAGGTGTCGTTGATGTTCTCACTTGCACAAATAGAGCCTGTTTTGTCATAGTCTGAGTATTTAGGGTTGCAAGCCTATGGGAAACAAATAACTGTCAGGACCACAGTACAGAACAATGTGGATGTTATGACTCTCAAGCTCTCTAGCCTAGTGCTTTCCCGGATGCTTTTTTCCATTGCTACATGCTATTCATGCAAACTTCACGCTTCCTTTTTTTTTCTTTTTTAAAGATTTTATTTATTTATTTGAGAGAGAGAGAGAGGAACAGCATGAGAGGGGAGAGGGTCAGAGGGAGAAGCAGGCTCCCCGCTGAGCCGGGAGCCCAATGTGGGACTCCATCCCAGGATTCCGGGATCATGACCTGAGCCGAAGGCAGTCGCTTAACCAACTGAGCCACCCAGGCACCCGCAACCTTCACATTTCTATTCTAGCCCTAACAGCGTTCATGGACTCTGATTTCAAGCAGCCTCCTGCACAATTCCACTCTAACTTGATGCGTGTAAACTTGTTATTCTCTGCATCATCTCAGGAATATCCGAGATCCCAAATCATTCTTGTTTTTCTCCCTCCCTCCCTCCTTCCCTCTTCTCTCACACCTTGCCCCCCAAGTAGGTCAGTGACTTTGGCTGATTCTTCTTTTGCAATGTTCAAGTGGGTGCCTCCCTTCCCATTCACAGCACCACCTCTCATCTCATTCGGGGTCTTTCTAGTCAAGGGACACACTGCTGCGAGGTGACACCCCCTCTTCTCACACCGTGCTTCTGCCCAAGAACCCCCCTGCTACCCCACCAATGAAGCCCACAGTCTTTAACATCACATGTAAAGACCTCTATAACTTGGGCACCAAATTACTATTTCTGCCTTGTTAATTCAGTAAACATTTATTATGTGCCTATTAGACATAGGTCATGATACCAGGGCTGTTGTTATATAAAAATAAGTACCTCCCAGTTTTGCTCACAAGGAACTTAGAATTTAAAGTCAAGAAAAGGCAAGTACAAAAGTAGTAACAATATGCCATTTTTTAATACTATTCCTCTAGATGTCGCTTGTGTTGTAATCACTTCTTCCTGGAATGGCCTCCCCTTGTCTGACTCTTATCTTAAACTGCTGAAATTCCACTTAAGCAGCCCAAGCCTTGCCTCACACACGGAGCTGCATCTCTAGCTGGCTGGTGACCTCCTCATGGTAATGATCACATCTTGCCCTCTGGTCGAGTGACTGATTCCTATATATTTTTCTCTTCCTTATTTTTAAGTTCCTTGAGTGCAGAGTTCAACCCTTATTTATTTTCCTATCAATGGCAGACCCTGAGATAACACGAGATAACACACTGTGTACACATCAGTTAATAAACCTCTGTCGGATAAGGAAGAAAAATGGGAGCTTTATTTGATTAATGTGATATTTTCCTATCCCAAAGTTCAAAGCTTATACCTTGTAGTATTCCCACTTTCCTTTCTTCATGGCAAAGCCAATGCTGTATCGGTTAACATCTGTAATTATTTTAACCAGCTATTCTACAATTTTTCTCGATTTTGTCAATTTCCTACTCACCGTGAAACAGACAACAGGATAGCCAGACACGGGTCCAGCACTATCTCTAGCTCTGGAAGTGTCATCGTACATCAATAATGACACAATTTGAGGGACAGAAGGAAAAGTGACATCTGCCATGCTGTTCATTTCTTCTATATACACAATGGCTTTGGTCACCTACAAGGAAAAGATAATTATCTGTGATTATTGAAGTATTTGGATCTAGGAGCGTCTATTGTATAGTACGATACACATGATGCTTGACAAGCCCCTGGCTTCATTACGAGGAAAACTGTCACATGCAGAGCCCCAGCAGGGCGACAGGCCTTTTGTGGTTTGTTCTAGGTGACCCTGACACCTTGGCCATGTCTTATGGCACCTGGGGAGGGTACATGAGCCCAGGGCAGCCTGGGTTGGCCAGTGGCCCACGAGGTATTTGGGTTCTATTTTTTTCTCCAGATTGTGAGGATAGTGGCTGAATCTGTCTTGGGTTATAGCATGGAAGATCCATGAAAAAGCCAGTTAGTTGCTAGGGAGAGGAATGCTGAGTGATAGGCTGAGAAAAAGCAGATCCTAGGGGTCATGTGATAGCACAGCCACGCTGACGGGGATGCCGGCGAAAATCAAGGCTCTCAATGAGCAGAGACCACTAAGGAGGGCACTTGATGGAATGAGCACTGGGTGTTATATGCAACTGATGAGTCACTAAATTCTACTCCTGAAATGAATAATGCACTATATGTTAACTAAATTGGCTTTAAATACAAATTAAAAAAAATAAATGAGCAGAGACCAGAAGCAAAGCCTGAAACCCAGGCAGAGTGAGACACTGAGTCACAGACAGGAGAGGAGTCTAGGCACATCCATTGGTAAGGTGCCAAGACACCTTGCTGATAAATTTGTCTTAGCTCCTGAATAACCTTCCAATATCTTATATATCACAGTTTCCAAGTCTGTATCTACTTGCATTTGTAAAAAGCTGTTATCACTTGAAGCAATTTCAATGAATCTCTGTTCCTTTCACCCCAGAGTTTAATACAGTGCTCTATAAAAGTAACACTAAAAGAATCATTTTTAATGTGATCAAGACTTATAAAAAATATGTGTGTTAAAGGTTTTCTGCCCATACTTCTTGAATTTTAAATATGACTTAAAAAAAAAAAGGTAAGGCACTGTAGCAGAGATAAGAAATACTTAAGGGAAAAAAATCTCCCCAATTTGATCTCGTACTAATAGTAAAACAAATAACAAAAGAACTAGAGTAAATTTAAGCATAGATATAATAAACATTGGTCTGTGCCTAAAATTATTTAGTTTTAAAAATTACTTAATGTTTAAAGGTCAAAATTCTGTGGAAAATGTTTACCTTGAAGAAAATCTGGTTGATGACACAATATAAATTTAATAAGCACAGAACATCAGTATTAGGACCATAACATTTGGTCCCTGAGGCTCTGGACATCAAATTGATAAAACTAAGACTAGCAGTGGGAATTCTGAGGGTTAGCAAACTGTGTTGTGGATTAAAATGTATGTTTTAATGAGCAGTAGCCCTGAATTCATAGCCTCATCTTTGTGTCGAGATGATGCCTTCTCTCTGGAAATGAATCTCAAATTCAGTGGTTGCCAACTGAAATGAGAAAACTAAGTGGGCTGACGTGGGGCTCAGTGACTCTAGTCCCTGAGTTTCTATACACATGATTTTTCAAAGGAAGAGTAATAGGAACAAAATTTATGAGATGAAAAAGGGATTATGCATATCTCCTTTATAAAGGCTTGCACAAAATCCCAGTAGTCTATTGTACACTATGTGATGCTTATATGCATTTTCCCCAATTAAAATGCTGGGCCTGAATTTTTTTTTTTAAGATTTTATTATTCATTTGAGAGAGGCGGAGGGGAGCACAGAGGGAGAGGGAGAAGCAGACTCCCCGCTGAGCAGAGAGCCTAATGTGGGGCTTGATCCCTGGACCCTGAGATCATGACCTGAGCCGAAGGCAGACGCTTAACCGCCCAGGCACCCCAGCTGGCCCTGAATTTCTATCCATATCTTAGTACGTACCTGCGTCTCTGCTACCATGTTCTCATCGGGTTTTAGATGAACAGTGAAGGCCTCTCTCATCTCTCTGATCCCGTCGAAGATTACTTCAATGTTAACAGTATGCTGGGTTTCTCCCTCCTTAAACTCAATTTCTACAAATGCAAAAATCACAGATTTAAGTGTTTTACATAGGAATACGTGAAATTTTTGTCAAGCTTTCTTGACAGTGACTCATAATAAGGAAAATATTGTACACTGTGGCCCAGTATATTTGTGTATGCATGCGTGCGTGTGTGCGTGTGAATAAAATGGAATCACGAGTTTGAAAAACATCACTTATTTTTACTGTATGCTTTGTATCTAAATATTTTCCATTCTATTCCATTTCATCTGAAGAAAATTCTAATCAGAAGCTACTAAATTGATTTGTTGACTGACAGAAAAAACAGTGAGTTGTGGAACAGATCAATAGTTCTAATACTGAGGCATAACCAGATAAACAGGCCTCTCATTTCCAAAATTTCTGAATCTATAGGACACAAGGCAGGTGACTACAATTGGAGGTATTATGAAGTGTGAACGGCATTTGCATTATGTATATATATGGGTAATTAACAGTGGATATAAAATTGTTGAGCTTTTTAATATTATATCAAATTATATTTTAAAAAGACTTTTTTCTGTTGTTGATGTTAATCTTGGAAACTTAAAACCTTTTTTCAATAAATGTGAATGCTATGCTTCCCTTAATCCTGTTTCTCCTCACTAAAAAAATGTGCTTCATTATAATGAAAATTAAACTCAATTATGAAAATCCCTTTTTTTAAACGATTCATTTCAAAAGTCTTAAAACATTAAAAATTAATTGATTTTATTGAACTCAAGAGTCAGCAGCTGCCCATACCATGAGACTTGGATAAACTATTTTGTTGGTTTTACTATACCTCTTGAGAAACTGGCTCAGAAGAAAAATTAAAAAAATATAATGCATAATTGTTCTAATTAGAGAAGACAGCAGATGTTGTTTCTGATGTAACTGGAGTTCAATCATTTTAATTCTAAATTATAAATCCTCTAAAATGTGGCAGAAGAAAATGTGTCTCCAATGTGTTTTTCTTCTGCTACTTCTATTTTTTTGTCAATTATGAAAAAGATTTTTTTCTTTAAAATTGAGTAAGCCAGATTCCTCTTTAAAATGAGTTCTGGGAGCCCCTGGCTGGCTCAGTCATTAAGCGTCTGCCTTGGGCTCAGGTCATGATCCCAGGGTCCTGGGATGGAGCCCTGCATCGGGCTCCCTGCTCGGCGGGAAGCCTGCTTCTCCCTCTCCCACTCCCCCTGCTTGTGTTCCTTCTCTGGCTGTGTCTCTCTCAGTCAAATGAATAAATAAAATCTTTAAACAAAAATAAAAAATAAATAAAATGAGTCCTCTTTCTAGATATAGCCATTTTCCATATTAGCCCTAGTGTGTTCCTGGCGTCTATTAGTCTTAGATTTCTCATACCCTGAGAGAATTTAGGGTTCTTGTATCAGAGAGTGAAAACAGCTGATCATCTCCAGCCCACCAATTTGTTCGGTCTGACTTGTGTGACCTTGCATTAGAAAATTAGTTCCTAGGGCGCCTGTGTGGCT